TTTTAAAGTATGACACATTAACTTAATTCCTCTATAATTCGCACAATCTTATGCATCACCTTTATTCTTAAAAATAGGAATTAACACACTCATTCTTGACTCATCTAGCATCTTTATAGTCTTCAAAACAGTATTAAAAAGTTTAGTAAGCTAAGAAATTCCTTCATCTCCTAAGCATTTCCACACCTCTATTGTTATATCATCAAGTCCAACAGCTTTTCCACCATTCATTTTCTTTAAAGCTTCTCTAACTTCGATTTTACTAATATACCGAAAAAAACATAAATCTTTATTTTCATTTTTTTTAAAGCTTCTCTAACTTCGATTTTAGGGTGTTAAGGTTCTTTAAATCCTTACTACTCCTATCTATTTATTTGGCTAACTTATACATATATCTTTCTCTCTCTTTAGTATTTAATCTATTATATAAATCACTAAAAGCTAAGGTCTTTACATCGCATATTACTTTCTTAGATTCCTTACGAGCCTCTTTATATCATTCCCATTTATCAAAGTTTTTACAATTAAACTAAAATTTATAACAAATCTTTTTATCTTTAATTTTTTCTTACATATTTGAATTATACCACCAACTATTTTTACTATTATGAGCTTTTCGCTTTAATACTCCAAGTACATCTTTTGTAATTCTTAATATCACTAGCCACATTTTCCCACATAACATTAGCATCCTCATGCACAAACAAAATCTTAATATCTAAAATCTTACTCTCAAAAAATTTTTTGTTAATATTCTTTAAATGCCCCCATCTAATCCTAGAATATCGTTTTACTTTATTTTTTATTTTCCGTCTCTTTTATCTTAAAGTTCAAAACTAATAATCAATGTTGGGTATATAAATTTTCACTCGGAATAACTTTACAATCTTTATAATCTAAACGATCTAATTTTCTTAAGAAACAGTCAATCTGAATTGTACTATATCCATTTTCTAAATGATGAGATATTCAATCCTTTTCTTAAATAAAATATTAGCAATTAAAAAATTATAAGCTAAATAAAAATCTAATATGGTCTTGCCATTTTCATTTGTCGTTCCAAACCCATGATCACCAAGAATACTTTTAAAGTCATATACCTCTCTATCAACATGTACATTTAAATCTCCTCCAATAAAAATTTCTTTCTTCAAGAGGTATCTTTTGTATTAATTATAGTCATTCCAAAAAATTAATTTTGAACTCATATCCAAACCTACTTGATAAGCATTATCACTTATAATATTAATAATCTTAGCATCAACAACAATCTTTAAAGATATAATTCTATCTTCAATCATATTAATCTTTATAACATTGTCCTTTAAACTCTTATCTATAATAATACCTACACCATTTCTAGTACGACTCCTACCCGAATACCAAAGTTTAAATCATAAACTATCAAACTTCTTAGCCTTATCTCCAGCCCATTTAGTTTCCTGAATGCACAGAATATTTAACTTTCTATGAATCATAATATCTATTAATTCCATTAATTTTCCTGTAAGAGAACCTATATTATAAGTTCCTATCCTAATTTTAGTTTCATGAACTAGCTTTTTTTCCCACATTCATCTTTGATGTGAGAACTCTTGCCTATTTAACACTGCACTCGGGCACTGGTGCAGCGGCCCTTGTACACTGGTCACTGTATTCAGGTCATACAACGCGTCGCTTCTAAGGGATGCCCTAGCATTCACACAATTTTCAAAAGGATTCATGTCATTATTATTCGACAAATTTTACGCTAGTTGTCGACTACCTAACGCAACCCTCCACTTTTCTCATCCAGGACTTGGGACCTAGCAACGGCAATGTTTTGTGCCGATCAACGAACTTATAAATTTTAATGTTGTGTCATTGTCTGAAATTATAAAGTGCGATACACAAAAACTATAGACAACATTATGAGCAAAGAAGTTTATCACATACTCAAACGTAACTTCTTTGAATGGAGCTGCTTCGACCCACTTAGAAAAGTAGTCCATCGCTGCCAGTATAAAGCGGTGTCCGACTAATGAAGGCGAATCTATCAGCCCAATTATATCAGCGCCCCAGCATTCAAATAGCCAAGATGTTACTGTAAGGTTCAGTGGATTTTGCAGTTGATGTATAACTTCATCATGAATCTGACACTCGTGGCACCTCTTAGTATGGTCAATATAATTCCTTACCATTGTCGGCCAATAGTAGCCCATCCTTTTGATTTTAGCGACAATTTTAGGACCTGACTGATGTACACCATAGAGTCTTTCATGAACTTCAGCTACCACTCAATTAGTTTCCTTGGTCCCTAAGCATTTTAGCCATATTTGATCAAAAGTCCGACAATACAGCATGTTGTTAATAAACGTGTCCGAATTTGTGTGGTTAGAGATTTGTTTGTTAGAAGTTCACTTTCTTTAAAGTTGTCGATTAATGGTTGTGTCCAATTATCTTCTACTTCAACATCTAAGCAATGCAATAACGATTCTGAGCATCTGTTGGATTTACGTCTATTAGCTATATGGCGTTCTTTTGGTTAATTTCCAATACTGCTTTGTTAGGGAGGTTGAGGATCAATAGGAGTTATATCCTACTGGCTCAAATTTGATATTCTCTCTGCTTGCGGGAATTGTAAGATTGTTGGCTCTAAGACCCGACAACTATGAACCCCAATCAGCATAGGCATCTCCTCATTGGTATTAGTCATCTCTTAACTAATTGGCCAAGCAATCAACCTTGGCGTTCTGACCTCGAGGAACTCAAGCTATTCTAATATTTGGTACTTGTTTTAAAAGCTCAAGGGCTCACTGGCGGTATTTGGCCAATCCAAGTTTGCAAATCTTGTAATTACCTATGACTTAATTTATCACAAGTTGAGAGTCGTCAAAGATTTGGATATTATGGATTCTAACATCGATCGTAATCTCCAATCTCATTATTAGAGCTTCATATTCGGCTTCTTTGTTGGTCCGGGATTCAGTTAAACTGAATGAAATCCTCGTGGAATAATTTTCTTTGAAATGTTGCAAGGAAATACGCGTAAATACGAACACTTTGTCTGAGATTGACAGGCAACATATTCTTCTTGAGAATACACACTGCACCTTGCTCGAGTATGTAAACTCGTAGTCGTAATCATAATCTGAATATTCAGCCTTCTTTATCTCATTGGTCGTTGACTGGCATACTCTGAAATTTGGTAGAGGTGGCATCATCTTTATTTGTGTCACTCCCTAGGTGAGGCATATGTTTTCTTTCTTTAGAAGTGGTGACTGTTTTGGGAAAAGTCGACAAGTTTTTCTTTCTCATTTCTTGCTTCTTCTCACCTTCATGTCTGGGCCACTTTGCAGTCTTTGAGTTCGATACCTTAGCCTCAAGAGAGCTTGATGGCTTTAGCTTCTTCGGATTGAAGTATTTAGCATCTTCATTGATTGTTACTTCATAGACCGCGAAGGGCTGGATGTCACCTATAATCCTGAACTCTTCTTCGTCCCTGAGATATTTCTTGCACTGGTGTAATATTGATGGGATGATGTCGTATTCACGCAACCATGGGCGACCCAGTAGCGCCTTGAATGAAGTGTTCATGTCAATTACATTGAATTTAGCCTTTGTATGAAGTTCTCCAAATGTGAGGTAAAGCATAAATGATCCCAGAGTCTTTTGCCCTTCTCATTGAAGCCATGTACCATTAACTTATTTGGGCCGCGGTGTTCTACGTCGAGGCATATCGATCTCAGTGCTTTTATGCTTATAAGATTAATGGAAGACCCAGGATCGATTAGAATTAGGCTAATTATCATATCGTCGCTCTCTGTAGTAATATATAGAGGGTTGTTATGATCTGCAGTTCCGAACATCATGTCGTCTTCAGTGAAGATGATGATCGGCTTACGGGCTTGTAAAACCTCTATCATGTTGCGCTTAGCAAAATACATTTCATACCTTTCAATATCTTTGAGAGCCTGAATGAAAATCTCCCGAAGGTCCTTATACATTATAAGGGCGTCGTATATACTGAGTTGCATCGGAATTTTTCTTAGATGGGACAAGATATTATAATCTATTCTCTTGGCTAAAGTGTCCTTCTTCTTGGGGTCTTTAGGGATAATATCTTCATTAATAACTATCTCCTTCCCCTTGTCTTTATTGGGGATCCCCTTCGTTGGCGGAGATGACAGTAACTTGCCACTTCTCAATTGCACTTGAGCCACTTCAACATCAAATGAATAGGATAAAGCTAGGCAACTTCTATTCCACCAAACTAATAGTAGTTGATAAAATTCATGTACTCTCCCAAATCCTATCCAAAGAAAATTTAAGGGCAAAAAAAATAGTGGAAAAGAAACAGGAAAAAGGGAAACTAACCATCAGAAAGTGAATGATTCCATCTATAGAAGAAAAGAATAAGGGTTAAGAGCACACTCTTATTAAACCTGCACACCTACCAATATTTATACCCAATAGAAGATTTGATTGCCTAGATAACATTCACAAGGGCTGTACTACAATTCATTTACATGAATAACATTAAGAACTTGCCTCGCTTCCTCCCTCACAATGAAAGCCACATTACTACTACGTAAGAATATAAAAAAATATACTGCCAAATCATTTTTGTCTTACCAGCCTTGCATTTAAGCATGTGATGGACGGATCAACATAGCCACCCAAGGCAAACAAACCCAAGAATTATGGCCCATTTGCAAAGACATGGCAGCCTCAACATATCTTTAATGACTATTAACTGGAATGGCGGCTTGGAAGGGGAGGAAATTTTCAGTGATATACTAATTACGACGATTTAGAAGTGGGATTATAATATGGCAATTTCATGGAATCAGCTCAATGACCATTCCATCATAGTGAGGCTATATTTGGTGACAATTCGAGTTTTTTTAAATCCAGTTGATTAATACAATGCATGTGCTTGAACAGCCCAAGCAGACAAGAGTAATAATATTTCAATAGATTTATGAAGCAATATCTGTATGACTAAAAATGAAATGCACCTGATGAAGAGGGACAAATAACTGTAAGGCAGGTTGACAGCTCCAAAACCAGACAGCACAGCCATCACAGTCACGCCTATTACACCAATTCTACTAACTAACTGAGGCATTGTGAAGAATCCTGAAACAGAAAGTACATCAATGTTCCAAGACCAAGTGTGGATTTAATTGATATGTTCAAAACTTCAAATAAACATATTATGAAGATAAAATTAATCATACAAATTGTTTAGATCATATGAGTGTCCATTGGATAAAAAATAGCAGGAAAAAGCAAGTTCACTATTCACCAGCCATGAAAGATAAATATATTAAATGGTCAGACATAGCTCATAAAAACGGGTAACAGACATGCAATGCAATCATATTCCGGAATAGTTTTTCACTTGTGTAATGATCAAAATGTTGTCATGGCACGACATTTAGAAAATATATTTTCATGAATTACAAGGAAAATAAAATAAAAACACAAAAAAATGGGTATGACTCCAAAAAACTCCAACAAAAGGTAAATTGTAGCATCGGGTTTTTTTTTTTCTTTCATGAAATCAACAAGGAAAACTGTTGAGCGGAAAGAGATTTGTACAATGAAATAAGCATACTCCATTAAATATAAACAAAGTAGTTTCCTAAACTAATATTGCCTGTGCTAATACTCTCCCTCAAGCTAGATGTTATCAATTGGATCCAACTTACATAACTTCAAAAACTAAAGTGAACAAAACGCCCTGGTAAATATATTAGCTAATTGTTTTAAGCTGGAAACATGAGGCAAGATCTTTTTGATAGCAGCGTATCCTGAATGAAGCTATAGTCAATCACAATACATTTTTTCTTTCATGGAACAAGATAGTACTGGTAATATAGATGGCAACACAATTATCTTGTTTAAAGCCATAGGTTATGTAATAGAAAAATTGCATTTTCCAAAGAGGGACTTTACCCTCATAATTGCACATGTCGAGTATTAGAGTATATCTTGGCCTTATATTCTGTCTCAGAGCTTGATCTAACTATTTTTCACTTTTTCAAGCGACTAAGTGACTCTGTAAAATATATGATACCAAAATGTGAATTTTTTTATCATCAACTAATCCAACATAGTCAATATTAAAAAAAGCTTCCATATTAAGAAGCCCATTTTTAATGTATAGTTCTTTCCCAGATATCTAAGGATAAACATAATAGCTTTACAATGCTTTTGTTTAGAGGTTTACATATGTTGACAGAATCCCTACAAAAAAACAAAGATTTAGGATATAGTGACAACAACAACATGAGGCCTTTATCCCACTACGTGGGGTCGGTTACATGAATCCTTTTTCTCAATTGTGTCCTATTAAAAGTCAAATTCTCGTTTAAATCTAATAAAGAAAAGTCATTCCTAATATTTTCTAACCAAATCTTTTTAGGTCTGATTCTACCTTTCTTAACATAAGTCAAATCTATTACCTCTACTCTCCTAACCGGGTCATCGGGAGGCCGCCGTTTTATGTGACCAAACCAACTAAGGCGACTCTCTCTAATCTTATCTTCCTATCACTATTTAGGATATAGTGACAGAAAGATAAATTAATTTTCTAACCAACCATTGATAATGAGAACATCCTCAAAAAATTTCTCTTTGTTAGCAACATTATGAGTGTCAAAAATGTTTGCAATCTAACAAATCAATTTCTTCATGAAGTTTGGTGGCATATTGGTGACAAAGAAATTCCTTTACTGTAAGAAAATTCTATCACTATTGTATTTCAGAAAATCCAGAACTTCGGTCAAAAAGTACTCTTATAGATAGTGTCTTATTTTATGGCACTCCTTGTAACAAAAATGTCATCTATATAGACTACCAAGATAACAACGCCAAATGAAGTATCTCTAATAAAGATGAGTGATCTGTTGTGTTTGCAAAGGCCAGCCTCAATAAAAACTAGGCTTTAGTCATAGAGGGCCTTTTTGAGCTTCCATGATCTGGTCTCCACATAAGTAATGTACCCTAATGGTTGCACCATATAAATGGATTCAGTAAGACATCATAGAGGAAGGTATTACTCATATCGATTTGTAGCAACAGCCAGCCTTGGTTGATAGTGAAAGAAAAAATAATCCAAACAAAGTTAAACCTGGTGACCTTATATCAGCCTTGGTTGATAGTGAAAGAAAAAATAATCCAAACAAAGTTAAACCTGGTGACCTTATATCAATCAATAAGGCCATCAAGATAAAATTTAATGGTGTAAAATCATCGATATGAGGTTGATTTAATGTCAGGAGGGGTAGTCAGTATCCATAACTTATTTCCATAATAGATCCTTTTGTGATGATACTATTGAGATTGAAAGGAAAGTCCCTTAGCCACGGAAGATAATTGGAACCATTGAATTTTATTTAGGTATTAATTATGGAGGAAGGGACTAGTGACTAAGATTAGGTTAACCCTGCTAAGATATCATGTTGAGGCAAAACATATTTCTATATTTATTGATAGAGAACCACTCTAGAAACAAAGCAGCAAATACAATATGTCAAGCTATAACAAAATAAGCAAACTCTACAAACCATAAATAAAGTATTTTCCTAAAATAATTTTCTACGCTGACAAACAATTCAAATTAAATCAAAATTTTAAGAATTATTTAGAATTACAATGCAATAGGAAATGATGATTAGCCCCCAAAATATGGAATGCCTATTAAAGCATCCAACATAAGCATGTATATTTGATAGTCATAACAAAGGTGGCAACAATTGTACTAAGCACAAAATTATGAAGATAAAAGTTTAAAATTCTATGTGCTAACCTTTCTCAGGAGAAGGCATAGGAAAGTGAATCCCCATGCGCCAAAAAGCATACAGAAACGCTAGTAAGAATATGATTGCCCCAAACGCAACACGTTCTTTTCTCAATCCTATCACAAAAAAGAAAATTATGTCAATTCTTAATATAAACATAATATATATATATATATACTGTCAAATATGAAGTACAATGAAACATTAAATTATGGGGATTATTTTGCATGATTTCTCAATATTTTAAACATAACTTTTTTAAAAAGGTAATTCAAATTGTTAAAAATACAAAAAAAAATTATTGCACAAAACCCATAACATGAATATTGACAAAACTCACATAATTACATTCATTTATGATATGACAACCCAAATATGGAAGAACACAACAAGCACAAATCATTTTTTTCCTTTCATCAAATTGTTAATGTTGGTTGTGGCACACACAAATTTACTAGTTGGATAGTTCATATTGGGGGTGTTTGTTAGTTCTGTAAACAACAAGGCATAGCAATAGAAAACTAAATGTTGTGGCCTATATTTGGCATTTTCACCCTTTGAAATACATATATGTAGGAAATCAGTCATATTCTAACAGAACTATGTTGAAAAATCCATATAAAACAAGCAATAGGAATTAAACAAAACAATATTCAATCAAAGTTTAGAGCGACTTAAAACTTTAAAACTGGCTAATCCATCTTGTATTTGGCCTTTTCAAACATGGCAATCCATAAATCTAAATAGAAATTACTTTTTCGATAATTGAACTATGACATCCATCACTCAATAGAGGGTAGGCATAGAGATATGGTTGTTGCATCACTTGTAGCTTGGGGTCACAGATTCGAGAGCCAGAAAAAGACATTTCATAATGAGAGGTAATGTTGTATAAATCAACTCCTTGGAAGACCCTCTATATTGTTCGGTGCTTCACACACTGAGTATGTTGTTAGCTGTTTTTTATATCATGTTTTCAAGTAACTAGATTATTAAAATGAAAAAAAGTAAAACACATTCATGATCCATATCATGAAATTTCTTCTGCACATCTCTATTTTTATCATTGCATCTATCAGAACTTTCCATCATTTAACTTGGAGGTATTTTCATGAGTTGCCATTGCTAACTTGGGTGTGGCAGCAACAATATATTTACTTTCAGTTCAACTGTCATGGTCATACTAAGATATTGCTCATGGGATAAAGAGAGATGCAGCACTCAACAAAATTAATGAAGGATTCAAAAAGCCAGGCTCAAATAACTGGAAAAACGCTAATGATTAATTGTTATGATAATGATGTGAATTAAGAGATAGGCAAGCTTGGTAACATCAATAACATTAACTTGAAGTTGAAAAGGATAACTGTCAAAAAAATAAATAAGAATTACAAGAGTAATAGCAGTAGCAGTAGATAAGTGGGAACTAATGGAAACTCAAAACATACCACTGTTCCGCAGCATCAGATAGCAGTGATAATATGGCAGCACAAACACCAGCAACAATATCAAACAAAATAGGTCAATCTTCCAATTTATCCACCTTGCACTGCAATCAAAGTAATCATAATAATTGTACAATTGGTGGGATTAATTCAATATTTTATTAAAAAAAACTATGCTTTGAGTGGAATCAATTCCTATCGCTCAAAATTGATGGACAGCTGAAATGGGGTTTATTCGACCAGTCCAATTCCAGATATAAATAACAGGTGTTTGGACGTCCTAATAAATACAAGCAAATGCCTAATGCCGGCACAATGAAACCTAGACTAGCAAGGACAAATTATAATCCCTAGCTATGCCCAAAGCTACAGAGAAGCAGAATGAGAAGCAATGGATGCGACATTGTTGTTTGAATTGATAGAAGTGATAAATCCTTGATACATCACTAGCAATAAGTGCACCAAATCTCAACTAAAAAGACACTCAAGTGTGAGCAAATCAAATGAATCAAGCAACAATTGTCAGCTCTAATCCACCTAGCAAAAAATTTAAACCTTGGCAAGACAGTAAATTCATGGGACAAACATTTTGTGTCCCTAGAAGACTTGCAGACTACCAAAGCTAAAAGCAAGATGCCTCATTAGGACCAAAACTACAACGAAGCACAACAAAAAGCAAAGTATATTACACTGTTGTTTGATTTCATTACACTCATCAATCATCATCACTGGCAAAAAGTGCAACAGCTTTCAACAGACAAGACATTAAAGTGTGGGTAAATCCATTGAATTAAACAAATATTCCTGATTTCGTGCAGTAACTCAAAACTTCGAATTCCTCAACCTAAAACCGCAAGAGCCCACCGATGCCTTGGCCCTCGAAGTCTTGCAGACTACCAAGCCCGAAAAGCAAGAGGCCTAATTATACGCAACGCTACAACGAACCACATTACAAGCAATGCATGTAACATTTATGTAATTACACTGAGGAATCCTCAATACATCACCAGCAAAAGCGCAGCAGTTCTCAACCGGCAAGACACTGAACCATAAGCCAATCCAACAAATCAACCAAAATTCCAGATATAATTTCAAACCCTATAATCCCAAAACCTTACCCCACGAAAGCAAAAATGGAGGAAAGGTCCTTACTCTTTAGAGAGAACAGAGAGGATCTCAAAGAGAACGAGCTGGAAAAGGTTGCAGGAGAATGCAAAGACAAGGCTGAAGAGGATCTGGACGAGGGCACGCTTCTCCTCGTATTCTTTGTAGAGACGGCGGTTGAGGAACCAGAGCCCAGCCCAGCCAAGAAGACATAGTGATCCGATCACTACCGTGCCTTCGTAGATCTTCCATCCCCAGCCCATGGCCCCTGCTGTTGCTTTCCCTCGTTCGGTTCTTCCTCGCGATGCCTCTCCAGATCTACCGAATCTGAACTCGCCGGAATCTCGTTAACGGCTTCGCCGACATGGGCTTTCTTTCTTTTTCAGACTTTTTTGGAATGACAAGCAACCACAGAATTCATGGAGAAATTATTCTGTGTGGAATCCGATCACAATCATGTATTCGGTTGCTTGCTTACGTGGAAAGGGTTAAACAGTCAATTGACTTGCGTAAACCTCGTAAACCCGACCCGTCTTCCAGCCCGACCCCGGAGATTTAAGTTGGCGCTTCTTTTTTCATAATTTAAGGCGCGCGCGAATCACCGCAATATATAACGCTTAGAGCCAAAATTTTTGCAGAGAAGCCAAAAATTTCACAGAGAAAATGCCGATGAAGATGGAGATTGATCTGGAGGAGGATGTTGGTTTTTATGAGCAGACAATATTTTCGCAGGTCTCGGAGGAAGCCGATAACCTGGAGAATACCGACGTCCCGGAAACAAGCGCACATGAAGCAGAACACGTAGAACCAGTGGGACTGGACGAAAAGTTCAGCATCTCGGTAAAGTTCGCCTCCTTCCAAGTTTTCTTTGTGCATTTATTGTGTTTAACAAAGATGCGGTTTTTTAATTGATCTAGGCTACAATAAGGATTTTGTAGTTAATTTTCTTATTTCAAAGGTTTGTTGCGTATTATTTGCGTATGTATTGCGTATCTATTTGATATAAATTGAATATTTTCTGCGTATATATTGCGTAAACATTGCGTATACATTGCGTATTGTGTTGCTTAATTGCTGCTTATCTTTTGCTTATCTGTTGCGTATTGGTTGCGTATTTTACCATTCACTTACTTAATGCGTATTTCTCAGGATGTTTATGTTAATGAGAAAGAAGCATACGAGGCTTATCGTTCTTATGGATATAATCTTGGTTTTAGTGTTCGTAAGGATCATCACAGCCACTGGGAAAGAAGACAAAGAGTATGATATTTTATTTATTGCCTATTTTGACATATTGTTATTAATTTTTTTAACAGGGAAACCACCAATGAAGAAATACACAACAAAATTTGAGACTCCTTCAAGCATGCTCGAATGCTTAACTAAGGATTTCATAAATTCTGTACACTCCAAGCAATCCTCAGATCAGCAGTGTAATTTCACAAGCATACTCGAATGCTTCACTGAGGACTTCATAAAAGCTGTACATTCCAGTCAGGCATCTCCAGCTAAGCAGTACAATTTCTCAAGAATGCCCGAATGTTTCACGGAGGATTTCATATCACAAGCATGCCCGTCTAGTCAGACATCAGTACAGCAGTTCACCAGCATGCCTGAGATGACAGACGATTTCATAGTCGGGGAACCATCCAGTCAACCATCAGTAAAGCGAGCAAAGCATTCTAATTTCACAAGCATACCCAAATACTTCATTGAGAAACACATAACAGGTGTACGTTCCAAAAAGTCATCAGCAAAATACCTGAAGTTGATGATGGATATCATTAAAACAGAGAAATCTATGTTATAAGAATATTTGTATGATGGATATTTATTTGTAAGAATATTTGTTGATGGATATTTATTTGTAAGAATATTTGTTTTAGCTGTCAATTTTAATTTGTGTATGTCCTGCGTATACAGCGCGTATACAGTGCGTATACAGCACGTATACAGTGCGTATACAGCTCGTATAAAAACATATACAGATCGTTTATTCTATGTTTCTGAAAATGCAATATATTTTCAATTATTACTAAATAATTTTAACCCATTATGAATTTATGATCTCCTTTTATTGCTTTTCATAATGTTTTGAAGTAACATTATTGCTTTGAATGAATTTATTGCTCAATATAAAAAATGCAATCGTTTACGTATTTTATGCGTATGATCTGAGTCCTTAACGCGTCTAGTTTGCGTAAATAGTGCGTACTATACTCATACC